ATATTTTTGTCTATTTTGCTCTTTACTCAAAACATATTGTTTTTGGGGGGGGTAGGTTTGGACCACAAGCAGCACTGCTAATCCTGGCTTGGTGCCCGAGGGTTCCTAGATCCTTAAGTTGCTTTCTCATCTATAAATTCAAGTGTATCTTCATTTTGCTATGTATCTTACATTTCCCTAACATCTTGGTTCACTTTAGTAATTCCAGAACAAGTGACCTGAACCTACTTGTCTCCATTAGTGTTTTCTTTCTCAGATAGATTTGTTTTTTCTCAGACTTTCCTGCTTTTTGTTGAAGGAATAGAACGACACGGAAGGGGGAAATTCCACTTACATGCTGATTCATAAATCTTAAAAACAGCCCGTGGCATTATACTGAGATGTTTGTGCCATTTCAGGCTAACTTGAAAGAGAGATGTCCCTTCTGAGATGTTATTTTTATGTAATGTAAGTGAATTCAGGAGTGCCGAGAAGAGATGTAAAGAAAATAGTTTGCCTTATTTGGTTTTTTCAACTTGTCTAATGGTCAAGTGCTGTGTGTTTTGTGTGTGTGTGTGTGTGTGTGTGTGTGTGTGTGTGTGTATTCCTGTTACTTTTGGAAGCAAGTATATTTATGGCATTCTCAGTCTATGAACTGTTTATGAACTGTTTGCATTGACATTTTTATAAACACTCCTAACATTGTCTTTGTGAATAATTGAGGCAATTGAATAGCTATTCATCATCAAAATTTTTCCTTTTGCCCCAAAACATTGATAACAAGAGCTGTATTTGACGCTGTACTAGTTATGGAATTCCATATTGATATATGGAAGTTCAGAGATACTACATCTTTTTGGTGACTGTATCATAGAATGGGGGCTTATTTGGGTTGTTATTTTGGGGGTTATATTTTATTTTATTTTTTCAGAGGGTTGGAGGGAATGTTGGTTCGGTTTGGGAGCCACACCTAGCAGTGCCAAGGGCTTCCTTCTGGCACTGTGCTAAAGACTCACTCCTTGGGGTTTCTGGGGATTGGACCTAAGACAGCCACATGTGAGGCAAGTGCCCCACCTGCTGTGCTATCTCTCCCGCCCATATGCCGTGCAAGTTTGTAAATTATTGCAGGATGGGACTGTAGTTGTTGTTAGAGGTTTGCTTTAGTTTTTTGTTTGTTTCCTTATAATTCTTTTTCCTTCCCATATAAATAGCTTTTAAACGGTTCTTTTTTCCCGTGGAACCAAGAAAGGTTTCATGTTATTACTTTCATTTGGTTCCTTGAATTATTTATTGTTCTCACTTCCTTGCCACACATTCCTTTGCTGGGAAGCTTTTTACTTTCTTCTGCTTGTCAGTTCATTGGAGAAGGCAGATACATAAGAGAACTATCAGGTGAGCACTTGCATCTGTTTTATCTGGGGTTGAGGGAAGAGAATTACTACAAGAGATTTGAAGGTACCAGTGACATTGCCAGGCAGCACTAGTACTATCCGGCTTTCTCTTCCTGTAGTTGCATTATTGGTTTTCATTCAGTGCTGTGATTCAGGTAGTCAATGCTCTGCTTTTCAAATTATTATTTTTACTCTGGTATACTCGTGCCTGCTATCTCATCCTAGTGCATTCAGTGCATTCTAATTCTAATACCTTTTAAAAATTATTCTAATGCCATTAAAGCACTGTGATTTACAAAGTTATTCATAACTGAGTTTAGGACATACAATATTGCAGCACCAATCCTGCCACCCATGTTCTCATGCTCCTTCCCATATTCCCCTTGTCCCTAACCCTCTTGACAGGCATCGTTCTAAGTTTGGTTGTTAAAGTTCGTGTCTCTTGAGATTTCAGCGTTGCTGACTCTGTGTTTTGGATATTTGGCTCTACAATTCCTTTGCACCATTTTTGAACCTTAATCCTTTGACCTGGCCTTCGTTTCTTCTCATCTGTCTTTTGTTCCCTTCCCCTCTACTTTTTCTTTCCATCTTCTACTTATACTCAGGGGCCTGATTGATCTGGGAATCCCCCTTTAAAACATTGCATTCCCTGACCCAGTTATTCTAAATGTCATATGTAAGTGATATTATCCTGTGTTTATCCTTCTTCTGACTAACAAAATGATGTGGGAAGGAGCCTAATATCATTTTAAAATGATGTCTTCCAGTTCTCTCCATGTTGTAGGAAATTGCATGGTTTCATTACTCCTTACAGTTGTGTGTTATTCCATCGTGCCTATATACCACATCTTCATGATCCACTGATCTGTAATTGCATTCCACTTTTGAGTTTCCATCCCCGGACAGAAAAAAAACCCATTTATTCAAATGAATGTATGCATACCACTATTCTTTGTAGAACTCAGTACAGTAGCTAAGATTTGTAATTCACCTAATTCTAATACCCTTTATAGATCCTTCTAAAAGTATAAAGAATGCTAAGAGAAGTAAACCAAGAACCATCCTGGAATCACAGTTTTTAAATAGATCCTATTTATGATATTTATGATAATGAAGAGTAATCAAAAAATAAAGGAAAGAGAAATTAAAGAACATAGCTAGCATTCATGAGAGTCCAGCGGAGAGATTCCAAATAAAAAGCGATGGGTCAAAAGTGTGAATGTCTGAAAGAATCAAAATGACCTGGATTATTTTCACACTGCAGTCTCTAGTACGCAGTTAGGGACTTTCTTAGATGTCCCTGTTGCCCAGCATGTGGTGGGTGTTTAGGGTAAGGAAATGCAGTAAGGCTCTCTGGATAATTTGGAGAAGAGAATATAGTACTTCTGGAAGAACAGCAATATAGGAATTGGTCATAGGTTACATTGCAAGAGACTAAAAGTGATAAAAAAAAAATGTTAGTACGGTTTGAATAACTCTCATTTCCCAGAAACCTGCTGAACTAAAAAGTGCCATTGGTATTTTAGCTAAATGCACCTCTCATGAACTCAGATAATATCTAAAGCTATAACATCAAACATACAACATGGAAAATTTTAATATAGCCTCTTTTAACAGTTGGAGGTGACAAACTATAAATTAGTACGATCTTTTCAATTTTATTGCTTTTTATCATATCTAACAATTGCTTAGGCAGATTTGTGGATAATTAAGAGAACTGCTAATGTTAAAATACATTTGCTGTTTCTATCAACCCTAAGAAGTAGATTTTAAGGTGTTACTGGTCTGTCACTTTACACATGGATGATATTTATTTTTTATATTTGGCAGGGGGAAAGGGATGTTGATGTTGGTTATTTGGGCCATGCCCAGCAGTGCTCAGAGCTTAATTCTGGGTCTGTGCTCAGAGTTCACTACTCCTGGTACTACTTCAGGTAGTACTCCAGGAACCACGTGTGGTGCTAGGAATCCAGCTGAAGTTGGCTGCATGCAAGACAAGTCCCTTACATCCTATACTATCTCTCCAACCTGATTTCTTTATTTTTCAACTAGTAGATTAATAAATACAAAGCACATTTTATGTTTTCATATGCTATTTAGTACCTAAATATTATCTAAGTATCACCTCAAGAGGTTGATACTATTAAAATTTGATGTTATTAAGAAAAAGAGAAGGAAGGAAAGAATTCGATCAAAATAGGGAAAAGTTATTGTGAAAGGGGAAAAAATCATTTAACTTATTCATCTTGGAACTTCTCTTTTTTTTTAGAGGTCATTAAGCTATGAGTACTCTCTCTGCCTATGTCTCCATCTGTGTTTCGAAGTTAAAAGAAAACATTGAGGAGTTGTTTTAATCAAGACATAATAGAGTCTTGGAATTTCTTTCAAATTGTGAAGACATGTTTATGTTTAAAAAATTAGATTTTTTTAAAAACCCATTTTCAAATACAGGGCACGTAGCAAAGAAGAATTCTACAGTAGGAATGACCAAAATTGGACATTCCAAGTCAGTTCTGTTTACTGTATTTAAGTTCTGGCTTTTATTTTCTTTATGCTGTGAAGTTAACATCTAACATACTGCAATAACTTTTTTTCTAAAGAAATGAAATGTGTTGTTAGTGTTTTTATCATGGTGGGATTGGCATGTTGATCTTTTAGGGTATGCAAGTTCTAAAACTACTGGGTCATTCGTTTAGATTTCTGAAGGACTGTGAGAGATGTGGAAACATCTAAGTTTTATAAGAATTGACAGCATTATTCTATATGCTAGAATATTCTTTTTGTATGTGTACAGGGGGCGGGGGCGGTAGGAGGGCACATCCAATGATGCTCAGGGATACTCCTGACTCTGTGCTCATTGATTACTCGTAGCAGTACTGGAGGGTCATATGTCATTCCAGGCATTGAGTATGGTTGGCTGAGTACAAGTGAAGTGCCTACCTGCTGTTCTACTTCTCTGGCCTTTAGAATATACTTCCGTTGAAAGATGCGTAATTGAAATAAATAGACAGCCCTTTCTGCAAATAGATTATATTCTATTATATATTCTATTCTATGATTTGGGTTAAAAATAAACTGAGGGGAGATAGATGCTTACTTTGCATTTTTGTTCACTTGACTTGGTTTTCCTTCCATTTTGAGAAGAGCACTTCTTGACTCTTAAGCTTTCGCCACACGTGCTGTCTTTGGAAGCAACAGTTAGCATGTTATTTCATTTGAAATCTCACAGTGACCCAGGACCATGGAAACTTTTCATAGCACTATGGCTGTTGTAGTAGGCAGGAAGCTCAAAAGCCAGGTTTAATTAGATAGCAGTGCAAAAAAACCTTTTATCTCTTTCACAAAAGATGGGGAAGAGGAGCTAGAATGAAAACAATTAGCGTTTATCTGACCAGCTGCCCAGACCAGCCTGTGGGAGCCCAGCTGGAGTTCTGCTGGCCCTGCATTCTGCAGGCAGCATGCATTTTTTTTTGAAACACCCCTAAATGTTCCAGCCTTTAAATAGCAGCGAGTCTTCTAAAATGATGCTGCGTGCTGCACGAGAAATTAAAGTGCTGCCTGGGAGGCAGGAAGCCGACTAGAGATGCTTAATTATTGTGGAAGTAAGTGCTTGTTACCTTTGAGTGGAATGCAACGAGCGCGGGTTGTCCTCCGGGTGTCAGCGGTGATTTGTAGACAATGCAGCCCTGTCAGCGCAGTGCTGGTTCAGCAGCATCTCTCCAAACATGTATTTGGCAAGAATTTAAAGGCCACCTCTTGTGTTATTTGCGGAGCCTTGGAAAAGGGTCCTCTGCCTTTATTTTCAGGATGTACGCAACCATGCAGGATTTCGTGCTGAGAATCGGTACCTCTTGCCTCCTGAATGACCGGCTTATAAGGAAGTTGGCTTTCTTCGCCCTTCACCTGGAAGGATGTTAGCAGTTCTCCCGTCCACTGGGAAACATGGAGAGGTCTATCCAGAGCCACGTTTGATTTCTGCTGTCTTCATAAATTAGTGCTGAAGGGTGGGGTAGATTGCAATGTGTTAGGGAAATGCAGGCATTTTGTTGATGAGTGGAATTTCTGGCTCTAAGAGTATATCAAATGGAAGAGCTTAGGCAGAGGTGGAGGTGAATACTGGATTCATTCTGAAATATTCCTCATCTGGGTAAGTAATAAAGTAGAGGAGAAAGCGGAGTACTAATGGATGTTCTGGCTCCGAGAAAATCCTGTTTTATTTTCTCTCTTGTATTTGTTCTTGCCAACTGTGTTAAGCCTTTGTAAAAACAACAACAACAACAACAAATTAAAAAAGCAAGTAAAGATTTTGAAATGTTGAAGGTATTAAAAAATGAGTATTGCAACATAGTAAAATAATTTTTTGATTTCTAGTCTTGTTAAAAAATTGAATTCTGTTGCTCTAATGATCTAACTTGTTTGTGCCTCTAACTTCTGATCAGCAGAGTGGTTTGTGATATTGTACCTTGTTAGAGGTCATTAGTCTGAACTTGGTCTATGCTTGGAGTAGGAGCTTTGATGTCTTAGAAATGATTCATGCCCCCCACACCTGCTTATACGGAACAGCTCAAATAGACTAAAAGATTGATAGCCTTTTTATCATCTATAATTTAAATACAGATTTTATCAAGTGCTTTCACTTTTTTCTTTTATACCTGCTTCACTAAAAATATAGAATGTGAACTGTGATGAAACATCTCATACTTAGTCTTTCATTTTCATGTGCTTGGTTCTAGCAATTGTATATTCATTTTTAGATGTCTTTATCGAATACTAATTCCAATTGTCCTTCTCTTTTAGAGAGAGCCGGGGATTGTGGCAATCTCAGAATCCCAGTAATACAAGTTCCATTCAGTTTTTTCTGAAAGAACGCCATCTATCAAAGTGTAGCAGAGGAACTGTTGTGGATTATAATGTTTTGAAGATCTGAATTTTAAGAAATCTGAAAATAAGGCATTGTTTCACCTTTTCAATGAAAACTATCAGGATCTCACACAGCTGTGGTATTTTCTGGAAACTATTCTCCAAAAGGGAAATGCACATTTGAAACTTCAATACAATGGTCCTTTCTGCAGGGATTTAAGTCTACTTGTTTTTACATCATGACCAGCTTGAAACGGTCACAGACGGAAAGGCCGGTTGCTACCGAGAGAGCCTCTGTCGTTGGCCCAGATGGCGCTCCCAAAGTACACACTGACGACTTCTACATGCGGCGCTTCCGGTCCCAGAACGGCAGCTTAGGCTCATCAGTCATGGCTCCTATAGGGCCTCCCCGAAATGAGGGGCCCCACCATATAACCTCGACCCCTGGTGTCCCAAAGATGGGGGTGAGGGCAAGGATTGCAGATTGGCCTCCAAGAAAGGAAAATGTCAAAGACTCAAGCCGTTCAAGCCAGGAACTAGAAACCTCAAGTTGCCTTGAGAGCATGTCCTCCAAAAGTAGCCCGGTGAGTCAGGGAAGTTCTGTTAGCCTCAATTCCAGTGACTCAGCCATGCTCAAGAGCATACAGAACACACTGAAGAGCAAGACTAGACCATCGGAGAACATGGACTCCAGATTTCTCATGCCTGAAGCCTATCCCAGCTCCCCCAGGAAAGCTCTTCGGAGAATACGGCAGCGGAGCAACAGCGATATCACCATAAGTGAACTTGACGTGGATAGTTTTGATGAATGTATCTCACCCACATACAAGACTGGTCCATCACTGCACAGGGAATATGGTAGCACATCTTCAATCGATAAGCAGGGAACTTCCGGAGAAAGCTTCTTTGATTTATTAAAGGGCTACAAAGATGACAAATCTGATCGAGGTCCCACTCCAACCAAGCTCAGTGACTTTCTCATCGCGGGTGGGGCCAAAGGTTCTGGTTTCTCTTTGGATGTTATCGATGGACCCATCTCACAGAGAGATAACCTCAGGCTCTTTAAGGAAAGGGAAAAACCACTCAAGCGACGCTCCAAGTCTGAAACTGGAGATTCATCCATCTTCCGTAAATTACGCAATGCCAAAGGTGACGAACTTGGGAAATCATCTGATCTTGAAGATAACCGATCAGAAGACTCAGTCAGGCCCTGGACATGTCCAAAGTGCTTTGCTCACTATGACGTCCAGAGTATATTATTTGATTTGAATGAGGCGATTATGAACAGGCACAACAATGTTATTAAGAGGAGAAACACCACCACAGGGGCTTCAGCAGCAGCTGTGGCATCCTTGGTCTCAGGACCTTTGTCCCATTCAGCCAGTTTTAGCTCTCCAATGGGCAGCACAGAGGACCTGAATTCAAAAGGAAGCCTCAGCATGGACCAGGGAGACGATAAAAGCAATGAGCTCGTAATGAGCTGTCCTTATTTCCGGAATGAGATAGGAGGAGAAGGTGAAAGGAAGATCAGTCTGTCGAAATCAAGTTCGGGCTCCTTCAGTGGCTGTGAAAGTGCCTCCTTTGAGTCTACCCTCAGCTCCCATTGCACAAATGCGGGAGTGGCTGTACTTGAAGTGCCCAAGGAGAACCTGGTTTTGCATCTGGATCGAGTGAAGAGGTACATTGTGGAGCATGTGGATCTGGGTGCATACTATTACAGAAAATTCTTCTATCAGAAGGGTGAGTGGAGATCATTATTATTGAAATTTTCTTACATGCTTTCTCGGGGAAGGGGGGCAGTAGAGTTTTCATTTTAGCATCAAGATCTATCGGGTTTTTATTTTAGCATCAAGACCTAAAATTGAATGTCTTTCGATGATTAAACAAACACCTGTTGCAAATGTTTTAGCATTTTTTTGAGTATAAGATTTGCATGTCACCTTTAGGGATATATGTCTTATAAAGTTGAAAGTAATTTAAACACTTTTTTTTGTGGGGGGGATTACAAAATTTTTCAGATAGCACAGGATAATTTCTTTTTCTTTTCAATCATTTCCTCGGTAAATAGGAATCAGAAGGCTTTTCTCTCCATTTCATGAGAATTTTAGTGAAAATTCCATTAAACAAAAGACACAGGGACCCCGTTGAATTTCAGAGCCATGAGTCAACTCTAGGGCTACTTGAGACCCTGGAGACACAGGTCCCTTAACCTCTAGGTGATTGCCTTTCGGTTCTGTTTAGGGGTAATAGAATAGAGAAATGTTTCGTTAGATCATGCTTTATATAGTTTTATCTCATATTTGTATTAAGGTCCCTGAGATGTATTTTGAAATAAGTAGTATACATAAACTTCTGTAAGCTTTCTGCGTTCTTTCTAAGCAGCATTATTAATTGAAGAGTGAACTGTAAGACCTGTCCCTCGCCAGGAAAGAGAGAGCTCTAAGGAGGGCCATACATCTGTGGTCTTTTAGCTGGCAAAGGAATCTCCAAGGTCAGGAGTGAGGCCTCATATGTGTCCACGGCTGCAGCAGCCTTGTATTCCCCAGGTGCTGTTTGGGGGTTTTGAATCTTACTTAGATATATTTCTACATATCAGTTTTCATTGCTGGAACTCGTTATAACTTTATGACACTGTCACTTCAGAATAAAGTTAATCTTCAGGTGATAATGTGCTAGACCACTCGAGATATTTTATTGATCAAAGAATCTTATCTGAATACTTAATCTCCATATTTCATTACATCAAATGTATGGCAGAGGCCCCAGAATCAATGTGGTACTGAAAATTACAGTTGTATTTTAAGCAATCTTTGTTCTCCCAGAATAACTGTCAGGAGTTAATTTTCAGAAACCCAGTGTTTTCGTCTGACCTTTATGATTCAGGTTTTCCAATGCTGCCACCTTGACTTTATGGAGAGAGTACTGTGCTGTACATTAGAGATGTAGAATGACTTCTCTACCACCCTTTTTTACTTGGGACCTGACAGCCTCCTGTGGACCCCTACGCTATTCTACAGGGGCCAAATCTGTGAAAATGGTACAAATGGAAGGACCATGCTACAAGAAGACTGACTTGTAGGATGGAGAGAGGGGAAGTAAGGAAATGTGTTTGGAAGGGGGCCATGGTAAGAAAAAGCTTTGAGAAACACTGCTGTACACCTAAGAGGCATAGATACTTCCTCTCACAAACCCATCTGGGCCAAACTGAAATGTCCCTTGATAGCTCAAATGACCGTTAGGAGGTAAAATTGCATCAAGCTGAGATTCCAGTTGTAAGTTGCTATCACTGAGCCAATTTTCCCCTGGTGTTTCTGGCCCAACTGTAGGAGGAGGCCATCTTGATAAAAATTAGCACATTTCCATCCAACATAAGAGAGCATATTAGTTATAATCTTTTTTGTCAGGGGGAATCATACCCGGCAATGCACAGGAGTTACTCCTGACTCTGCACTCAGAAATTACTCCTGGTGGTGCTTGGGGGACCATATGGGATGATGGGGATTAAACCTGGGCCAGCCACGTGCAAGGCAAATGCCCTACCCACTGTACTATAGCTCCAGCCCCATTAGTTATAATCTTAGAGAGATGACGTTTGGTACCTTTTACTATTAGTAAATATAATAGTATTGCACATTTTTGAGCACTCACAAACAGGAATTTTGCTAATAAGCATTTATCATGAATTGTATTTTCCTCATCTCAATGAGAAATGAGCCCACTGAGGTAGGTACTGTTCCTGATTGATATTCTACAGATGAAGGGACTCAGGCTTAAATGGTTTAAGTGACTTATGGGCTTAACTTGTCATGGAGCTAATGAAGTTTGGGATAAAATGTTCAACCCCTATATTTCAGAATAACTGATTTTAGTCCATAACACTTCATAAATTTAAAAGCCATTGATCCAAAGTAGTTAATTTAAAGCATTGAAAATACACTCTATCCATGATTACTAGAGCTAGTTACAGAAAATATTGCTAAAGCAGAGAATCTGTAAAAAGTATACCTAAAATAAAATATTTTATTTTTATGAAAATAACTAAAAATAGCACAGCGGGTAGGGCATTCGCCTTACACGCGGCCAAGATGGCCGACCTGAGTTCGATTCCTCCGCCCCTCTCGGAGAGCCCGGCAAGCTACCAAGAGTATTCGATATGCCAGACACAGTAACAACAAAGTCTCCAATGGAGACGTTACTGGGCCCGCTCGAGCAAATCGACGATCAACGGGAGGGCCTTTATCTTTATCCTTTTAACTAAAAATACTCTTGCTAAATTCTTGTGAGGCCCAGTCTTTTTTATTATTATTTTTTTTATTAGTGAAACACCATGAGGTACATTTATAGTCTTACAAATTTTTGTGCTTGGGTTTCAGTTATACAGTGATCAAGTACCCATCCCTACACCAGCGCCCATCCTCCACCACCACGGGTCCCATCATCCCTCCCACCCCCCCCCCCCCATCCCACCCTGCCTCTGTGGCCCAGTCTTTTTTTGACAGTGATTCTAGTGTTTCAAATTTTGCATTGTACTAAAAGGGTAAACCATTTGAACAAAGTTACAGGCACTGTAAAATTTACTTTCTTAAGTTTCATAATTTTTTTTCACATTTAAAAAAATTGTCCACATCTGATTCAATAATTTTCCTTTTAGTGGTTTGTCTTTATTAAGTTCTCCCAAATCCTTCAAGTATTCTTTGAATAATGTGTAAAGGAAGATCCCTGGGGGGAAATGGGCTGGAGCGATAGCACAGCGGGTAGGGCGTTCGCCTTACAAGCGGCCAACATGGCCGACCCGAGTTCGATTCCTCCGCCCCTCTCAGAGAGCCCGGCAAGCTACCGAGAGTATTCGATATGCCAGACACAGTAACAACAAAGTCTCCAATGGAGACGTTACTGGGCCCGCTCGAGCAAATCGACGATCAACGGGAGGACCTTTACCTTTTATTCTTTGAATAGAAAAAAAATTGTCATATGGACTTATATTCCAATGGACTGGAGCCATTGCACAGCGGGTAGGGCATTTGCCTTGCACGAGGCCAACCCAAGTTCGATTCCTCCATCCCTCTCAGAGAGCCCGGCAAGCTACCGAAAGTATGCTGCCCACACGGCAGAGCCTGGCAAGCTCCCCGTGGCATATTCGATATGCTATGCCGAAAACAGTAACAACAAGTCTCACAGTGGAGACGTTACTGGTGCCCGCTTGAGCAAATCAATGAATGGGAGGACAGTGCTACACTGCTACTTATTAGCTTTCTTAATATTTAATTGAATTTCATAATTCAAATGTCAAGTGCCATAAATATGCTTGGGAGGACACAGCTGACTCTGTGACTAGAAGCACAGCTGGTGAGAGTGCCCAGTACATGTGGCTCTAGAGCCAGTCTGTTGGTGCCGTGGGGTGCTCATAGTAGGAACTGCGCATTGCTTAGTCCAGAAAATTGTCCAGCAGAATGCTGTCGCAGAAAGTGCCTGCTGTGTTTTCTTGAGCTATTTAGCTTAGAACTTTCAATCATATGAGTCATCGTGGTCTGATAATATGCCATTCATTATGTTTCGAGTAATAATCATTTAATGCTGAAATTAAGCCCCTTAATATACATTATTTGTTTATTTTGTTGAGGGGGCACACCCTCAGGGCTTATTCCTGGTTTTGCACCTGGGGATCATTCCTGGCAGTGATTGGTATACCATATGGGGTGCCAGGGATTAAGCATGGTTTCGTCACATGCGGAGCAAGCGCCATAGTCACTGTACTATCTCTCTGGCGCTAAGTACAAAATCAGTTTTTAAAATTATAGGATAATTAGTTAAATGATTCTGTTATTACTTTCAGCATGCAACTTTGATGCATTGAAATGGTGCCTTCTATATAGGAAAAACTTCCTTTTCCTCATCAAAACCTTGAAAGGAGTCATCGTGTTGGAGTGCAGCTGTGTCAGATTAATTTACTCTCTAGCATTGGATGTGGCACTGCTGACCTTGCTCTAGCTCCGTCTTCATCACCAGATAGTTTTCCATTCTGCTGTTTAATGCTTTCCAAATGTCACAGCAGTTAAGTCTCCATAGGGGATTTTTTTTAAAAAATCAACTTTATCAAAGCGAACTCAGCAGCTGAAAATTATGTGTAAAATGTAATTGTTTTTGGCCATTGCAGCTGAGCCCACTTTTTAATATTACATTGTTTCTGTAAACATAATTATTCTACAAATTTAGATGTTAGACTATTTGCCTCCAGTATGTAATTCCAATCCAATACTGGAAAGATCCCAATGGAGGAACTCTGTGGTTTGCAGTTACTGAAATAAGCAACCATCAATGCTCTTCTTTCCTCTTTTCTCCTCTGCCCATTCTCTCTGCTGCTTTGCTAACATGGGAATGTTCATATTTAGACTCATCTAGAATTAAACAATAGCAGTAAGATAGCTTCTGTTTATTGGGAGGATACTTTTTGCTTTATGCTAGCCTCAGTTGATAAATAGTTGATAGAACTCTGTGGGAAAGGTGTCATATGCTAGTAGTCCGCGTGACATATCCACATCTTCTTAGAGAAGCAGAAACTAGGCTCGGATAGCTTCAGTATTAGTTTTGTTGAGGCCACAGATGTTACTCCAATGGCAGAGCCACATGCCTTGCATGTACAAAGAGCTGGCCCTGATCCGTCATACCTCATGGACCCCAACCATGCTAGGTGTGACCTCTACTGCACCATCAATAGTTTGGTCAACTCCTTTGATGTATGC